CCCCAAAACCCCAAAACCCCAAAACCCCATGAAGTCAAGATATGAATTAATTCTATTAATTTATAATAAAAACTTGAAACTTAAATAATTATCTACAGCAGAATAATAGAATAACGAATTTCCCTGTAATTAAAGCATTATTTTATAGACTTATTACTTCACAATTTATTTGCTATAAAGACATTCTAGACAATGCCAAATTCAATGATAGTCACTACTAAGATGAAAGTCTTGATGAGCTCATTTGATTCCACTGCGCAGTTTTACCTTAACTACTCAAATCTATTTGCTGATTGCCATTATTGTACCATTTGGTCCTTTCTCCATCGTTCCATTCTCCAACTAGTTCAACACCATCAGCTGTTTTGAATACACCTCTTCCGTGCTATTTCCCATTACGCCATTGCCCATCATACATACGACCGTCATTCCAAACAAATAATCCGTGTCCATGACGCTTGTCATCCTTGAATTCACCTTCGTAGCATTTCCCAGTTGCCCATTTCAGCTGGCCTCGCCCATGCATTTTGTTTGATTGCCATTCCCCTACATATATTTTGCCATCACTCCAGATGTAAGTGCCATGACCATTTATTTCATTATCTGAGAACTAACCTTGAAATACTGAGCCATCTGCGAATTTCAAAATACCCTAGCCTTCTTTTTTGCCGTCTACAAACATTCCCTCGTATCTGGCGCCGTCTGGCCATATTTCGACACCGTAGCCTTGCTGTTTATCGTTTACCCATTCACCTTCATATATTGCGCCATTGTTGTGAATGTATTTACCTTGCCCATGAGCTTAGTCATCCACCCACTCTCCCTCATATATATCTCCATCTGCATGAAATAGTTTGCCATATCCGTTTGCTTTGTCATTTTTCCACTCTCCAATATATCTCGAGCCATCAGGCCACTCCTAATACCCTTAGCCTTCACGCATTCCTCTGTTCCACTCTCCTGTGTATATAGCTCCATTTTCTAGAGTGACTGATGGAAATTATCTCTTTGAGTCTTAAGCGGGAGCATCAACCTACTGGTTTGTATCCTCGGCGATATAGCCATTCTATTTGTAGTTGGAGCAATATGCTGAACAAGTTTAACCCATGAATAAATTTTAATTTTAATTCTAATTTCAAGCAAATTAGAATTCCTATTCCTATAAAATTTTACTCTTGGGGTTTTGGGGTTTTGGGGTTTTGGGGTTTTGGGGTTTTGGGG